AGCGGTAAGTTTTATGGTATGTGTATTTTACCACGGTAAAATTTTTTAAAAACCAGAAAGAATAAAACAGCGCCTGGAAGTACTGTAAATAAAACAAACACACAAAGGAGAGAGGAGCGAGTAGCAGTGCACGGTGCACGCGCAGGGCAGTGGCTGTGTGAGACTGGGAGCAGGAGGGACACCGCACAGAGGACACCTGCATGTTCACAGAGGACACTGACTCCTGGGGAGATAGACCAAGTGGCTGGTGGCAGTTCAGTGGGTGACACAGGGTGCAAGGGGCCTCGCATGTTCATTAAGAACTGTGCAACCCAGTCACCGAGTTGCCCCACTAGGTACCTGGGAGTGGGACAAGGTGAGAAGGACAGTCTGAGAGTGGGTAAAGGGAGCGCTGGGGGCTGGGGGGCTCTGAGTCCCTACCCTCCTACACCCTGCACTGCTTGGGGAGGGGGCATGGTAGCAGAGCTCTGCAGAAGGAGGCCTGGGGGCTGTCCCTTCCCCCACTGCTCCCTGAGAAAGCCCCTGCCCCAAGTAGTGGAGGAGGAGGGGCAGAGTCTTGATTCCCAAATTGGAAGCACATTAATGGGGCGAAGGGAAGGGCCCCTCCTCCCTCCTGTGGGCTCTGCAAATTGCTTCCTCCTGTAAAAATCGAGACCCTGCTCCAGGGAGGAGGGTGCTCCCTCCCCAGCCTGGCAGGGAGTGGCCACTTGGCAGGGTCCCTCGAGGGTCCTTGGGCTGGAGGTGGGAGAGGCAGATGCCATACCTACCCCCTCCCCACTCGGTCCCAGCCAGAGCCAGAGCATGGCCACTTCTAGGGTGGGAGCCTCTGGCAGCTGGAGAACAGCTGGCCCTCGGGGGAGGAGGGAGGACCAGGCAGAGGGGGTGGGAGGCTCCCTCAGCCCTCCTCAGCTGCCCTCCCCAACCTCAGCCCCCTGGCCCATCAGCCAGCCTAGGTTTGAGGGCAGAGATTTGGGAGGAAACTGCTGATTTCACTGATCTTCGTCACTTTGAGTGATGTTCTCACTCCGAATGAGAGCGCTTTGGGGGCCGGGGTCCTTGCAAGGGTGGGCAGCTGCTGGCTGCTAGAGCCAGTAAGGTTCCAGCTCAGTTGTCCTCCCAGTGGGGCGAGTGCAGGGGGAGGGGTGAGAGTGAGGGTGCCCACCTGCACTGTGGCCTTGTCCGGGCCCTGCCAGGGCAGGGCTGCCACGCCCCAGGCCGGCCCTCCCCGGCCACAGAGAGGAGCTGCAGGAGGAGCTGCGGGGCCTGGAGGAGCTGCGGGGCCTGGAGGAGCTGCGGGGCCTGCGGGGCGGGTGGTCTGGAGGCTGCAGGGCCTGGGGCTTGGGGACTGCAGGGCCCGCTCTGGCCTGGATCCTGGAGCTGTCCAGCCAGTTCTTCCGGCAGGTCTGGCCCCAGGGTGGGGAGTGGGCAGCAAGGTGCCCCTTATCTCCCCCAGGGCCCCCAGCCTGCTCACCCAGCCTCCCAGCGCCCCTTCCTGCCCCCACCCAGGGGCGGAGGGCCTGGAGAGGGAAAAGGAAAGGCGCGAGGCAAAGAGCAGTGTGAGCCCCCAGCCCGCCCTGCAGGGGCTCCGGGAAGGTATTCTGTGAGGAGGTGGAGGGTGGGTGCCCCTGGGACAGCGCTGGGCTGTCCTTGACATGGCTCTGTGTGGCCTCCCTCAACACTGCCTCTCTCTGGTCTGCCCGGCCTCGGGGTCTCTGTCCTTGTCCCTGTCTTTCTCTCTCCTGGCTTGTGCCTCCCACGCTGCCCGTCCACGTCTGAGTTTCTTGGCCCCCCACCCCTGTGGCGTGTCTCCGTCTCGCTGGGTCTTTGTGGGTTGTGATCACTGTCCTCCCCACCCGCCAGCTGTCTGTCTGTCCTTGGGCCTGGCCGTCTCCAGCCCCCGCCTGCTGTCTGTCTCCACATTTCTCCTCCTCGTTCCCTCCTTCACTCCCCTGTCTCCTGTCTGACTCCTGCTGGGCTGGTCTTTTTGTCCCTCACCCTCTGGGGCTCCCCTGTATCTCTTGCCCAGGCGTCCTCAGACTACGGCCCGCGGGCCACATGCGGGTGTTTTTGCCCGTTTGTCTTTTTACTTCAAAATAAGGTATGTGCAGTGTGCATAGGAATTTGTTCATAGTTTTTTTAAAACTATAGTCCGGCCCTCCAGTGGTCTGAGGGACAGTGAACTGGCCCCATTTAAAAAGTTCGAGGACCCCTGCTCTTGCCTGTCTCTCTAGGTCCTTCTCCCACGCTCTGTACCCCAGGCCCAGGCTCGCCTCACATCCCCCCACCTGTCTCAAGCCCCACTCCTCCGGCTCCCCTCCCTTTCTTGGTGGCACAGCCCAGCAAGGCAGAGGCTCCAGACACCCAGACACGGGGCTGCCCCCCAGGGGCCCTGCGCTCTGTTCTGGCCACCCCCCACCAGGCCTAGGGTCACATTAGCTTCAGTCATTTGGCCTAGTCCAGGGAGCCGCGGCCCCCTCTGTCACCCTGCGCTGGGGCCCAGTGGTTTGGGGGTCTAGGGAGAGGAGGGCAGCACATGGCGGTCTCTGTCCTCACCCACAGCAGGGACTCTGGGGAGTAGCGCTCAGGCCCCCTGCTGCCGCCCGCCGACTGAGACCCCAGCCCAGCCGCAGCCTGGCGCCCGCCTGCAACAGTGCGTCTTGGCTGGCTGGGTGCAAAGATTCTCACGTGGCTGCCGACCGAGTGCCCGCATGGCACCCCTGCACCCGTGTGCTCCCGTGCATGGCTGTGCGTGGGGTGCCACCTGTGGCCCTGTGTGCCTGGCACCTGGGCCCCAGGAGTGTTCCTAGAAAGTGAGTCTTGAGTGTGCCTAGTTGCCAGCAGAGAGGAGGGACGGTGGTCCCATTCTATCCTTGACGCGTCCTTTGGGCCGCCCCCAGGCTCCCTTCCCCCTCCCCAGCTGCCAGCGGTCCCAGCCAGGGGCTGCCCGCCCCGCCCCCCCAGTCTGTCCCAGCTCCCAGGCCTGCTGCTGTGTTCGCCATATTTGGCCACAGTACTCCCGCGGGGGGCGGGGCGGGGCTGACATCACCCCAACAAGGGGGGGCACAGCCTGGATGAGGGGAGGCGGGCAGAGACTTGGGGGAGGCAGGGAAGTTGCTTTGGAAGTCTGGGCTGCCAGGGCCCCCATGCGCTGGGCCCCTGCCGCTCTGAGGGAGGCCTCTGGAGGGTCTGGTGGGAGTGGGCTGGGGACTCCGTTGGGAGGGGTCTTAGCTCCTTACAGCCCCCCAGAGCCCCATGGCAGTGTCAGCCCCGTGTCCCAACTACAGACGAGGTTTCCTGGGGTGAGGGACAGGCTGGGGGTGGGGTTCTGGCCCCTCTGACTCTCAGGTACAGCTTCCTGTCCGTGCCCGGCTGCCCACAGGCCATGGGAGAGAGATGCCTGGTGGTCTTGGAGGCTTCACAGTCCAGGCTGTACAGCAGCGTGAGGCTCCTTAAAATTGCTCCAGCTACTTGGGCTGAGGGACACCCCCTGTTCTAGGCCCCATGGGTGGGCTCAGGGCAGTTGCTATGGCAGCTGGGCCTCCTTTCTGTCTCCCAGGGGTGGGGTTTCTCAGCCCCCACCCCTGCCCCACCAGTTTATGAGACTTAAGCTAGATTACTTGGGTTCAGAACCCAGATCTAGCACTTACTTGCTGTGTGCCCTTGGGCAAGTTGCTTCACCTCTCTGTTTCTTTGATTCCTGTGAAATAGGAATAAACTAGTATCTACCCCATAGGGTTATTGTGAGGATTAAATGAGTCAATGTGGTAAAATCCCAGAGTAGTCCCTGGCATATGACAAGTATTGTTCTAAGTAGTAACTTACAGATCTATCTGACATTCAGGCCCTCACAAACAGGCGGCTCCTCAGGGAGAAGCCCACCTCACCCACGGGCAGGACCTGGAATTCCCGCCAGGGGCCCCACCTCTCTTCCCTGCCCCCCACCTGCCACTGCTCAGAGTGGGGTCCCAGGGTGTGGCTGTGGGCCGGCACCTGGCGTGCTCATACACTGGGCTGCAGGGGCTGCGGGCGCTTGGGCTGCCGCGGGCCACGGGCCGTTTGGGCGGTTAGCCCAGCCCGGCGAGTGCGGGCACTCCGCGTGCAGAGCCCTGGCCCGGCGATGTGGGCCAGGCCAGGGCCGCGCGTGGGTGGTGTACGGGCTGTGTGGGCCGGGAGGCGCGGGAACAGGAAGTGGGGTGGTGCGGCGGGTGGGCCGGGCACCTTCTCGGCGGCTTCCCCACCCGCTCCCTTCTTGTGATTCGCTGGGCAGGTCCTGCCCCGAGTTTAGGCTCCCTGGCAGCGTCTGGCTCTCCATTTGCGGACAGGGAGGCCGTTTGCCAACAGGGAGGCCGTGGCCTTCCTGGGTCCGAGGCCCTCCCCATCCCCCAGCGTGCTCAGCAGGGGGTGCTGTGCCGGGCTGAGGCCAGGGCTGAGGTGAGGCCAGGGCCGAGGTGAGGCCAGGGCTGAGGTGAGGCCAGGGCCGAGGTGAGGCCAGGGGTCTGGACTCCAGGAGGGGGACTGAGAGAGTGAGACCCCACCCCTGCTCCACTCTCTGTCGTCCCGATGCCTCCGCAGCTGCATGGCCTTGTGAGCCTCAGTTTCCCTCTCTGGGTAATGGGCATCACTCCTTGCCTTCCCACAGTAGTTTTGTGAGGCTGAAAGAATATGAAAATGCTCTTTCTCCACAAAAGTGCTGTGTCCGTGTAAAGCGTCATTAGTGTTGTCGTTGATCTCCTCTGTCATGAGCCAGGCGTGTGGTTGGTACCTTGTCATGATCTAATTTAAGTTTTAGCCCACAAGCTCAGGGACACCCTTCCTCGTTTTATAGGAGCGAGGCTCAGAGAGGTGAAGGAGCTCAGCCGAGGTCACACAGCTCTGAATCAGCTTAACCCCTGTGGCCTCCGTCCCACCTGGAGCACCTGCCCCTGGGGTGGGGCTGCTGGGGGTGGAGAGTGCTGTGGTGGGGAGGACCTTGGGCCTGACCCTGCTGCATCTGCCCCCAGGCTCCCGGTGCCCAGCGGGCTCGGGCCCAGAGCCCAGAGCAACCAGCACCATAGCGTCCAACAGCTGGACCGCCAGCAGCAGCCCCGGGGAGGCCCGGGAGGATGGGCCCGAGGGCCTGGACAAGGGGCTGGACAACGATGCGGAGGGCGTGTGGAGCCCGGACATCGAGCAGAGCTTCCAGGAGGCCCTGGCCATCTACCCGCCCTGCGGCCGGCGCAAGATCATCCTGTCGGACGAGGGCAAGATGTACGGTGCGTGCGCGCGGGCCCGAGACACTGGACCGCCCCGCCTCCCGCCACTCCCGCTCCCTGCCCCTCACACAACCGGTTTGGCGAAGTCCCGAGGCCGCCAGCCCGCGGCGAGTCTGGGCGTGCAAGCCTGTGTGTCTGGATCCTCCACGGCCTCCTCCTCGCAAACACGCCTGGCCCGCCCCCCAGCCAGCCCACACCTCTGCGCCCGCGCCCTCTCCCCTGCGCGGGCATGGAGGTTTCGGGCTGACTCAGTGGGCCCAGGAAACTGGGTCAGTCCGGGGTGCTCCAGGCAGGCCTGGATAGGGTCCCTCCCTGCAGGATGTGCGAGGAGGCCCGGGGCCGCGGCCGGGGCGAGGGACCCACGCAGGTCCCTCCAGCGTAGGGGAGCTCGCTCTGTGACAGCGGGAAGAGGGCGGGGAGGTGGAGACACCTGCCTTCCTCACACCCCTCCTCAGCCTCTACCGGGTCCCTGGCCTCTCTCTGCCCTCTTGCCCACCTCCAGAGGGGACGTCCCCTCGTGTCCAGCCCTGAGACGCTAACTCGGCTCCCCCCAGGCCTCCCTGGTGGCCCTGGCCGAGCGAGGCAGGCTCCCGCCAGCGCCCAGGGTGGGAAGCAGTAGGGGCTGCCTGTGTCCCTGGGCCCCACCCCTCTGCCACTCCCGCCTTGGGCCCCAGAGCCCCACTATGGGGACAGGCACATGTTCCAGGGCGCCTCCGCGGGGCGGGGGCCATCTGCCCCCACTGCTGCCTCCCCAGGCTGGGGCAGCCCCGCGGGGTATTTTTAGCCAGGGCGGGGTGGGGGTGGGGGAGGAGCAGTGGGGCCGGTTCTGTCATCGGAGAGGAATTTGGAGAATTTGGCCGGTCTGGGGAGGCCATGGGGTTGGGGGGCAGAGGGCCTGGTCTGGGGGCAGAGGTGTGCACCCCGAGGATGCTGACGAGTGACGGTGCCCTCCCTTGGACCCTGGCCAGCCTCTGGGCCCTCAGCGGGGCCGCGGTGCGGAGCAGAGCCCCCACCCAAGGCTGGCAAGGTCTCACGGGGCAGGAGCAACACTGGTCACCGGTGACATAGAGTGACGGGCACAGGGACACGGTAGCGCGCTCAGTGACGCATCCTGACACAGTCTAGGGGCCACACTGGAGGCCGTCAGTCCTTCATGGTCTGCCTTCGCCGGAGAAGGAAGGGACTTGTGCAGGGTCTCCCCGTGGCAAGGACAGAGCTGGGACAGGAGCCCAGTCCAGACTGTGCGGGGACGTGTGAGACGTCCACCATCTCACCCACACACACCCCGAGTACACGCTCTCCGAGCTTTGGGGCTGGTGACACGGGGAGCGTCCCTGGGGGCTGGAGTGGCAGGGTGCCGTGCCAGGACAGGGGGACTTGGAGCGAAGTGGGTGGGACGGGATCCACATTCTAGGGAGGGGCCCCGCTGGCTTCCCGAGAGGGTCAGGGGTCTCCCGCCTCCAGCTCCACCCTTTGCCAGGCCTCATTTGTTCCCTCGCCCGATGTAGGTCGCAACGAGTTGATCGCCCGCTACATTAAACTGAGGACGGGGAAGACTCGGACGAGAAAACAGGTAGAGAGACGGTTTGTGCCGGCCCCTCTGCCCTGCCCCTCCTGGGAGCTGCCCCGCCCAGCTGCCTCCCTCCTTGTCCCGTCACGCCCCCACCCTCCCGGCAGCTTCTCACAGGTCCCTTCACTCTTCCCGCTGTTGGTGGGGAGGTGGCCCCTCCGTTCTCTCTGACTGCCCGACACCCTGCCCATGGCCTGTGCTTCAGGGACCACGGCCAAGCCCACGGGCTGCTGGGGCTCCCGCCCTCATGTGGTCCCTGCCCTGGCAGCAGGGAGCCACGTGGTCCGAGAGAGCAGTGTGTGCAGGGCACGGTGGGACAAGCGTCCCCCCAGACCCGGAAGGCGTCCCAGAGGAGGTGGCACTTGGGAGGCATTTAAAGTGGGAAGGGGCCGGGCGTGGTGGCTCACGCCTGTAATCCTAGCTCTCTGGGAGGCTGAGGCGGGCGGATTGCTCGAGGTCAGGAGTTCGAAACCAGCCTGAGCAAGAGCGAGACCCCGTCTCTACTAGAAATAGAAAGAAATTAATTGGCCAACTAATATATATAGAAAAAATTAGCCGAGCATGGTGGCGCATGCCTGTAGTCCCAGCTACTCGGGCGGCTGAGGCAGGAGGATCACTTGAGCCCAGGAGTTTGAGGTTGCTGTGAGCTAGGCTGACACCACGGCACTCACTCTAGCCTGGGCAACAAAGCGAGACTCTGTCTCAAAAATAAATAAATAAATAAATACAGTGGGAAGGGGTTAGCCGGCACAGACCAGGCCCGGTCCCCCCTCCAGCCTGAGGAAGGCGGACATGTGAGTAATGACCGTCCTACACCCCTGCTGAGCTTGTTACTTCGTGTTAATGCACTTAGTCCTCTCAGCGACTTTATAAGGTAGGCACGGTCACTGTCTCCCTTTTACTGATGAGGAAACTGAGGCACAGGCAAGCTCAGTAACTACCTCTAGGTCTCAGCTGCCAGGTGGCGTGTGCAGGAGAGAGCCGTGCGGGCAGGTAGCGGCAGGCAGTTCACCCCTGCGTGGTTCCCAGGCCACTGAGTTGGTGACATGCTTCGCACAGAGTAGCGCGGCGGAATTTGCCGCCCTGGTTGTCACTGTCATCGCTGTAAACCGAAAGCCGTCCTGGGCTCGCAGGGGAGCTCCCCTCAAGTCATGCTCTCCCAGAGGATGTGTTCGCGGGCACCTGTTTGCCACTGTGGGAGGGGGCCGGGATCACTGAGCGTGGTCACGTTGGACCGAGGCCGGGGCAGCAGCGGTGGCAGGTCCCAGCCTTGGTCCCACGTCCACCGTCACTCCTGCTGCCGTTGGCCCCTGACAAGGCCGTGTGGACAGTGAGCTTTTACAGACCAGCTGTTGACAGGCTCAGAATCTTTTTTTTTTTTTGAGACAGTCTTGCTCTGTCACCTGGGCTAGAGTGCCGTGGCATCTGCGTAGCTCACAGCAACCTCAATCTCCTGGGCTCAAGCGATCCTCCTGCCTCAGCCTCCCGAGTAGCTGGGACTACTAATTGTGAGCTGGGCCAGGCACAGTGGCTCACGCCTGCAATCCTAGCAGGCGTGACCAGCCTGAGCAAGAGGGAGACCCCTTCTCTACTAAAAATAGGAAAAAATTAGCTGGACAACTAAAAATCTATTTATAAAATTAGCCAGCATGGTGACACACGCCTGTAATCCTAGCACTCTGGGAGGCCCAGGCAGCGATTTGCTTAGGTCAGATTCAAAACAGCCTGAGCAAAGAGTGGACCCATCCTACTATATAGAATAATGCCAATAAATATATAGAAAAAATTAGCCAGGCATGTGGCACATGCCTGTAGGGCCAGCTACTCGGGAGCTGAGGCAGCAGGATCACTTGAGCCAGGAGTTTGAGGTTGCTGTGAGCTAGGCTGACACCACAGCAGACTCACTCTAGCCTGGGCAACAGAGTGAGACTCTTATCTCAAAAAAAAAAAAAAATACTTCTGGCAAAGAAATGCGGTTTTGGTTTTTTATAGATACACACAGCAATAGCAATTGATAGCAAGTACAGTGCCTCCACATGTTGACAGAAGTTCCATGTGACTTTCAGCCATCACAGAGTTGACCGTTTTGGGGTGGGCCTCTGTGCCAAGGGTCCAGGCAAAATCGTGGTAGCGTAGCTTGGTGATGAAGCAGGTGGGCTCTGAAGTCAGACCTAATTCAAATCCTGGCTCTAGCATCCAGCTGTGTGACCTTGGATAAGTTCCTTAACCTCTCTGTTTTTGGTTTGATCAACTATAAGTCAGGGACATTAAAATAGTGCCTACTTCCTAGCTTTGCAGTAAAGATCAGGTGAGTGGATGCATGGCGTGCTGACAACGATAGTGCCTGTGCTCCGTAAACGGGCGTTACTGTGTCCTAGCTCGGAGTGGTGGGTAATTTTGCTGGACGTGTCTGATTCCCGGGCAGGGTGAGGCAGCGAGAGGGGCACCCCCCTAGGTTCTAACCAAGTGGTGTCAGGGGCTGCCCAGCGTCACGTACACGATAGCTCCCAGGCTGTGATTAAAAAGAAAAAGAAACTGCCCCTTTGCGGGGGCACAAACGGCTCGCCCGCAGCCGGTGCCGGCCCTGCAGGTGCGAGGCCGCAGTTGCCCGGAGGAACAGCGGCGTTTGGCTGCTCCGAGGATGGGTCGGACCCGTGACCATGTCGAGGGTCTGCTGTGCGACCCGGGCACACAGCCCAGGCAGGCACACGTGGACTGCCGTTAGCTAGGTTTGCCCGCAGGGGCTTCAGGGAGAAGGAGTGCAATTAAGGGCACCTACTGTGTACATATAGATGTTGGCATACATTAGTCCAAGGAGAAGGAAGATGTGTTGGGGCAGGAAGCTGCAGAAGCAGAGCAGGAAAGGCGCCAGGGCTCAGTTGGTGATTCCATGAACAAATAAAATTGTTAAAAATATGATAAATAAATAAGTCAATAAAAGAAAAGCACCAGGCCTAGTGTTATAGGGTGGGGTTCTTGGAGTTGGCAGGAGGACCTAGGCAGTGGTTCAGGGAGAGATCTTTGGTCAAGGATGTGGCCTTCTTCTGGAATTTAAAGGCCAACAGAGCATTGCTAGCCCCTGTGGTGCCAGTTAGTAAAAGATGTCTCTGAGGTCACAGGTGAGGAAGAAGTCACTCCTTTTGGGGAGGGGACAAACACCTTCCTTTGGGTTAGGACAGCCTCGTACCAGGGCTTGGCCAGCAGGACCTGGGCTGGATTTCAGTCCTCACTGGTGCCCTCTAGGCCAGATACTCTTGTACAGTGAACAACCTATACAACCATACATGGCAGCCCTGGAAGCCACTGTAGGCTCTTGAGCAACACAAGGCCAAGAAGAGAGCAGAATTGGCAGTGCCGAGAAATGTCTGCACACAGGGGCCCCAAGGTTCCCCCCATTTACATTTGGTCCCCCAGAGATGAGGGCTGGGATGCTCATTTATCCGTGGCCACCCGGTGGCTGTGCCTCCTCACTGTCTGTGTTTTCCTCTCCGGCGGGACTTGGGGCGGCCCCTAGGTGTCCAGCCACATACAGGTTCTAGCTCGGAAGAAGGTGCGCGAGTACCAGGTTGGCATCAAGGTACGTCGGGTGCCGGAACGGGGCCTCCACTTCCTCCCAGGCCCCTTACCCACGGCCTCCACCACTGTCCACGGCAGCTCAGGCCCCGCCTCGGCCGTTCCTCCGGCCCACTGTGCCTCCTTTCTGGCTGCAGCTCTGCTCTGGCATCTCCTCCGCTCTCTCTCTTCTCTTCTCTTCCTCTCTCCCCCACAGGTCTCTAGCCACTTGCAGGTTCTAGCCAGGCGGAAATCTCGGGAGATTCAGTCCAAGCTGAAGGTATGGGCCCCTGCCACCTGGCCTGGCCCTGCCCAGCGCCCTCACGGGCCCGGGCCTGTGGCTACTCTCTGGCCCCAGCCAGGGCAGGGAGGGGCAGAGAAGCTGTGAGGGTCTCAGAGACACAAGTGGCAGCAGGAAGCCAGGGGCCACGTCAGGTACACAGGGCCACGGCCCCTGGAGACCGAACCGGAGCCCGGGGGTAGCCAGCCCTACAGTGAGGAAGAGGGAGACCGTCTGGGGCCACTGAGGCCCACCTCTCCTTTTCTCCGTGTTTCCTTTTCTCCTTCCTCCTGACTGCTGCTTACTAACCGCATGGAGACGTCAGGTGGGCAGGGAGGAGGCACTGGGCGGTACGGGCTGGAGGGGCTAAAGGGTGGGCATGGCAATTCCTCACAGGCCTGGCTGCTCTGCAGCCGAGGATGTCAGTGTGTGGGGCGTGACCTGGGCCCTCGCCAAGCCCCGTGTGGGCTGTGCTCGTCTCCTGCCACAGCCGCACAGCGGGCTGAGCCTTGGGCCTGCCCCAGACCTCCTGCAGACACCCACAGGCCCGGGTGCCGGCTCGTTCCTCCACACGCTCCCTCCCCCTTCCAGGTTTGCCCCACCTGGCCAGCACCCCTCTGGGGGGACGGGGAGGGTCCAGGGCTGCCTCTAAGCAGCCTCCTTGGGCCCCTCGGAGCTAACGCCAGGTGGGCGCTGGGTGGAGGTGGGCGGAGATGCGTTCCCCCCCCCCCCCCCCGCCCACATGGCCTCACGTCTCTTCTAACCACCCTCCCGCTTTCCTTTGCAGGCCATGAACCTGGTGAGTAGTGCTGCCCGCCCGGGCGTGGGGGGGGGGTAGCCTGCGGCCTTGGGCCATGTGTGGCCTTCTGGATCCTTGAGGGCGGCCTTTTGACTGAATCCAAATCTTACAGAACAGATCCTTTTAATAGCCCTGAACATTTGATGCAGGATTTTCAAATTACAGATTACAAACATAGGTTTGTAAGCAGCATTTTCAAAAAATGAAATACAGTGGTTCTCAAACTTTAGTGTGCATCAGAGTCACCTGAAGGGATTGTCAAAATAAATTCCTGGTCCCCCCTCAGAGTTTCTGATTCCTTAGGTCCAGAGCCTGAAAATTTACATTTCTTATTTATTTATTTATTTATAGACAGGGTTTCACTCTGTCACCCTGGGTAGAGTGCAGTGGTGTCATCATAGCTCACAGCAACCTCCAACTCCTGGGCTCAAGCGATCCTCCCACCTGGCCCTCCCAGAGTGCTAGGATTACAGGCATGAGCCACCACACCTAGCCCCATGGGTTTTATTACTAAGAAAGAATAAAACATATTGGGGGACAGGTAGATGCTAGGCTGACACCATGGTACTCTAGCCCGGGCATCAGCCCAGCTCACAGCAACCTCAAACTTCTGGGCTCAAGCAATCCTCCTGCCTCAGCCTCCAAGTAGCTGGGACTATAGGCATGTGCTACCATGCCCGGCTACTTTTTAAAATTTTATTTTTAGTAGAGATGAGATCCTACTATGTTTCTCAGGTTGGTCTTGAACTCCTGGCCTCAAGCCATCCTCCTACCTTGGCCTCCCCAACCGCTAGGATTACAGGTGTGAGCCACCACTCCAGGCCTGAAAACATACATTTCCAAATGCTTTCAGGTGACGCTAGTGCTGTTGGTCCATGGACCGTACTGTGAGAGCCACTGATGAAATGTTATAGAATGGAAAATATGAGTGCGTATGACATACCATAAGAGGAAATACCAGTGTACACTGGGCTATGGAATGAAATTATTTCTTACTGCGGGCGTGGTCAGAGGTGATGTGCACCGAGGAGGCTGAGACCAGAGAGGGGCAGAGACTCTCCTGAGACCATACATCAGACCTGGACTCCCCGGGACCCGAGGCCGTGGGGGGGGCAGGGAGGGAGGGCCTGGGAGGGACCCCAAGGCAAGCCCACGCCTTGTCCCTGGCCCAGGCCTCACTCGGCCCCACTCCCCAGGACCAGGTCTCCAAGGACAAAGCCCTCCAGAGCATGGCGTCCATGTCCTCCGCCCAGATCGTGTCCGCCAGCGTCCTGCAGAACAAGTTCAGCCCGCCCTCCCCCCTGCCCCAAGCCGTCTTCTCCTCTTCCTCGCGGGTACGGGGCGGGGTGCGGGGGCAGGCTGGGTGTGCATGCTGTGAGGGACGGGCTTTAGTGGGTCATGGGGACTGAGGGGCCCCTCTCTTTGTCCCAACCCCGCAGTTCTGGAGCAGCCCCGCTCTCCTGGGACAGCAGCCTGGACCCTCTCAGGAGTGAGTACTGCGGCCGTCCTCCACGCCCTCCTGCAGCCACGCCGGGCTGCCCTCCCTCTGCGTTCCAGCAGACGCTGAGCAAAGTCGTAGCTCAGAACTGTCCCTGCCGACCGAGCGGCAGTGGAGCCTGGGGCCCGTGGCCCCTCTGTGTGTGCGGTCCCAGCCCACTCGCCACCGGCGCCCGCACTTAGTCTTCGCCCCGGTAATCTCCGAGCCAGCCACTCGGTTAGGAGTCGGGAACGGGGTGTGCTTGGTTTCTTCAATCCCAAGACAGCTTTCACTGTAAGGCACGCCTGCAGCTTAGCAAACACATTTGGGGGGGTTGAAATGCATTCAGTGTGCACGTTAGTGTGAGACGCAGTGTGTGTTCATGAAAGTTAAAAGTGGAAGAGTATGAGTCAGCTTGCCAGCGTGTGTTTCCGAGCCTGGAGAGAAAGGCTAGGTGGCTTTCAGTGGGGGTCCTGGGTGGGGGCTGGGCCAGGTGGAAGGTGGGGAGGGGGTGACCCTCTAACCAGCCTGTACTCCCGTCTGCAGCATCAAGCCCTTTGCACAGCCAGCCTACCCCATCCAGCCGCCCCTGCCGCCGACGCTCGGCAGTAAGTGACGCTCGGCAGTAAGTCCCCCGAGGGAGGCTGCTGCCACCACCACCCTGCCTGGCACCTGCACCTCTGCTCTGGAGAGCCGGGCCCAGCTGTGTCTCAGGGGGACGGGGTGGCATCTGTAGGGGATTGGGACAGGCGAGAAGTATCTCCTTACCTTGCACAGTGTTGCTTTTGGAACTCTAGCACAAAGCCATAGGTAATGCACATCTAAACACCCAGACTACTACGTTTACATGCATCTCAAAGATAGAATACTCCCTGTAAGGAGAGACACCAGAATCCTAACCGGGCTTTACGCTCTCCAGGTGGTAGGATTCTGGGTAATTATTATTTCCTCTTTTTGCTTCTGTGTTTTGTGTTTAAAAACACATTACTGGCCGGGCGCGGTGGCTCACGCCTGTAATCCTAGCACTCTGGGAAGCCGAGGCAGGCAGATTGCTCAAGGTCAAGAGTTCGATACCAGCCTGAGCAAGAGCGAGACCCCGTCTCTACTATAATAGAAAGAAATTAATTGGCCAACTAACATATATATATATAAAAATTAGCCAGGCATGGTGGCACCTGCCTGTAGTCCCAGTTCCTCGGGAGGCTGAGGCAGAAGGATTGCTTGAGCCCAGGAGATTGAGGTTGCTGTGAGCTAGGCTGACGCCACGGCACTCACTATAGCCTGGGCAACAAGCGAGACTCTGTCTCAAAAAAAAAAAACAAAAAACACATTACTAAGAAAAATGTCCTTTGTGTGTACTACTAGGACTGCCGCGTAGAGTTGTGCAGGTTGTGTACTGTACAAAGACACCCAGTAGGGGAGTCAAAATCCAATCCATGTCCCCCTCAAAGGGGCACTGTGTGTGCCCGAGCCCATGCGGACGAGGCTCCATCCCCCCTCCCAGGTTACGAGCCCCTGGCCCCGCTGCCCCCCGCCGCTGCCTCTGCGCCCGTGTGGCAGGACCGCACCATCGCCTCCTCCCGGCTGCGGCTCCTCGAGTACTCGGCCTTCATGGAGGTGCAGCGAGACCCCGACACGGTAACGTGCTTGGGGGTGGGCTGAGGCTTTGCACAGTCGTGGCGAGGCTGGCTGGGCGAGGCAGGACCACAGCTCAGGGTCCTGGGGTCGGGTCTGGCCCGTCTGAGAAGCCACAGGGCAGCTCTGTCACCTTCGGCGCCGGTTGGTTCCCCACCCCAGCCCGCACGCTCCAGTGCTCCCCTGACCTTGCCTGCGCCGCCCCACAGTACAGCAAACACCTGTTCGTGCACATCGGCCAGACCAACCCCGCCTTCTCAGACCCGCCCCTGGAGGCCGTGGACGTGCGCCAGATCTACGACAAGTTCCCCGAGAAGAAGGGGGGTCTGAAAGAGCTCTATGAGAAGGGGCCCCCGAACGCCTTCTTCCTCGTCAAGTTCTGGGTGAGCCGCCCCCTGACACCGCTGCCTCCCTTTGGCCGGCCGTGGCAGAGGGCCCGAGGCGGGCCCTGGGCGGGACGCCCATGTGGCGTGGCGGGAAGCCTCCCTCTGGCCTCCGCCAGCACCTGACCCCACCCCACCCCCAGGCCGACCTCAACAGCACCATCCAGGAGGGCCCCGGGGCCTTCTACGGGGTCAGCTCCCAGTACAGCTCCGCCGACAGCATGACCATCAGTGTCTCCACCAAGGTGTGCTCCTTTGGCAAGCAGGTGGTGGAGAAGGTGGAGGTGAGTGGTGGCTGGCTGGCGTGGTGGGGCCGGGAGCGCACAGACCACGTGACGCACTGTCTGTCCCTGGGCTGTGCGCAGACGGAGTACGCCAGGCTGGAGAACGGGCGCTTCGTGTACCGGATCCACCGCTCGCCCATGTGCGAGTACATGATCAACTTCATCCACAAGCTGAAGCACCTGCCCGAGAAGTACATGATGAACAGCGTCCTGGAGAACTTCACCATCCTGCAGGTGTGGGGGCAGCAGGGGTGTGGGGGTCCTCGGAGGGCCAGAGGCCAGGGGCCTCATAGTAGGGTAGCCAGACCCATTACTCAGACGAGAAAACTGAGACCAGGAAGGAGAAGGGTCTGCTTGGACCCTGCCCGGTGGCCCTGTTGTGCCTGACCTCCTGAATCTTCCTACCCATCTCCCAGGTGGTCACAAGCCGGGACTCCCAGGAGACATTGCTTGTCATTGCTTTTGTCTTCGAAGTCTCCACCAGCGAGCACGGGGCCCAGCACCATGTCTACAAGCTCGTCAAAGACTAGGGTGCCCTCTGACTCCCACAAGGATGCAGGACAACCATCTCCTCCGCATACCTGCCTGGCACCCCCAGAGGACCAGGACTGAGGACTCATCCACCTGCCAGGCCTTAGGCCCAGGACCCAGGAGGCCTCCCCACCCCCCAGCACACACGCTCCCTGCCACTGTTCTGCGCTTTAATTGTGGGAGAAGAGAGAGCTGGGCAGCGGGGCAGCCTGCCCGAGGCGCTGATGCGCCATCGCCAGCTCTGCCCAGCCTCGAGTGACCTCAGAGAGGCAGGGACGGAGGACACCTTCAGGCTCCGGCAGGTGTGGCCACTGCCCCCAGGGCAGTGTGATGGGCAGGGGAGGGTAGAACAGAGACGGAGGAGTCCACGTGCAAAGGCCCCGGGGAAGGCGAGGGTCAGGTCGGGTTTCGGCTGAGGAAAGAGAGGGCCCCACTTCTTTGCACCTTGATGTGCCAGGCCTGGTGCCAAGGCTCCTTGCACGGCTCGTGCCGTCCTCAGAGCGTACAGAGCAGGCGTGGGCCTCCGTGTTTCAGATGGAGCGCTGAGACTCCCAGAAGTTGAGGCACCCGCAGAGGGGTGGGCAGAGCTGGAGTTCTTGTCCAGGGCTGCCTGTCCCCGGAGCCCAGGTTCACACTACCTCCCTGCAGCAGGGGCTGGCCACAGGGTGGGGGAGGGGCTCTGCGTGGGAGTGAGGAGTGGGGCCTCCTTGGGGGCCTGGACACAGCACGTTGTCCCAGAGGCCTCGCACGGGGGAGCACCTGTTTCTAAACGGGCAGGAAGAGGGGGGTGTAGCAGCTACAAGGTGCCTGTTAGCACCCCTATCAGCCCGCAGGCCAGCCATTGGCCCCCAGAGCCTCCAGGCACCCCTCCAAGCTGCCCTGGCCCAGGTGAGGTGCTCGAGCACCCAGCACCCTCCAGAGGCAGGTCCAGGCTGAGAAACAGGGTGAGGGCCAGGGAGAGGAAGATGCAGTCCCAGCCCCCCAGCATGCCAGAGACCAGGGGAGGAGGGCTAGCAGGCAGCTTTGATATTTGACAGGCCCTTGGTGGGCACTGCCCCCTTCTGTCTGCCCCACCTCAGGCTCCCTGTCCTGGAGCAGCCACTCCCCTGCACCCCTGGGGCCAGCCAGGCCTACACAGCAGGGCCCTGGGTATCTGTGAGTTTCATATGAAGTACTGTGCCCTTCCCTTCCTCAGCCCTGGTCCTGCCGGAACTTCCTGACGGTCCTCACAGTTTGCATATCGCTCAGGCCACCTCCAGACCCCACCTAGGTTTTATAATGTATATTATATATATTTTTGTGTATTTTTTAAATCCAGCTATGATGGGTTATATCATAAATGTGGCTTGGGGCTGGGGCAGAGGCCCTCAAGGCCCTGCTCCTGCTCAAAAGAAAAAAAAAATTAAAGTTATTTGTTTGTGGGTCAGTCATGTGACCAGTTGTGTGCCAGACCTTTGGATGGGAGCAGCTTCAGGTGAGTGCTCCTCCCGGGCCCTGGTGTGTCACCCTCCACCCCTGCACCTTCCCGTCTCTGCTGAGGGGCCCCAGCCCTGCCCATACTTCAAACATACAATGTCAGGGCCCCACAAAAGCTCTGCCAGCTCCCGACAGTTCTCAGTCGGGACAGTCCCTGCCTGCCTTGAACTGAGCACTTTTCTATGCCCAGTGCTGGCCTCAGCTCACCTGAGCGATCTGCCCAAGGTCACACAGTGGGCACTCCAGACCCTGCTAAGCCAGCACATGCATAGAGCCTCAAGTGCTCTCCCAAGGTGATGGCTGCTGAGCCGAGAGAGCAAGATCCCAAGCTCTGCCCTGAGCCACCTCCTGCTCACACAGCAGGGACCAGAGTCAGGGGTTTGGGGGGAGGGGACCGTTCCTGATGCCCTTCAGTGGGCATCTTGGGTCCCAAGGATTTCGACCTGTGGTTAAATGTGGGTGAACTGTGTGGGCTCACTAGTCACGGGATGAGAAACATTGTCCTGAGAGTGGGATGCTGGAGATGACTAGGGTAAAATAAAATGGGGGTCACCCAGTTAAATTTGAATTTTACATACAACAAATATTTTTTAGTTTAAATATAGACCATGCAATACTAAAGAACATTCATTATTCATCTGAAATTCAAATTTGGGCATCCTGTATTTTTTTTTTTTTTTTGAGACAGTCTTGCTTTATTGCCCAGGCTAGAGAGAGTGCCCTGGCGTCAGCCTAGCTCACAGCAACCTCAAACTCCTGGGCTCAAGCGATCCTTCTGCCTCAGCCTTCCGCGTGGCTGGGACTACAGGTATGCGTCACCATGCCCGGCTAATTTTTTCTATATATATTAGTTGGCCAATTAATTTCTTTCTATTTCTAGTAGAGACGGGGTCTCGCTCTTGCTCAGGCTGGTTTCGAACTCCTGACCTCGAGCAATCCTCCCGCCTCGGCCTCCTAGAGTGTTAGGATTACAGGTGTGAGCCACCAGCATCCTGTATTTTTTTTTTTGCTTAAATCTAGTAATTCTCTAGAATCAGGTCTTCTAGTTCTTTCTGGTCCAGCTTCCAAGTTCACAAATGAGGAAACTTGAGACCGAGGTTAAGTGAACTCCTCACTCAGCAAGTCACTGGCAATGTCATCACTCGAACCCGGTCTACCTGACTCCAAGTTGTGTGCCTGGTATACCATTTACCCAGGTGGCCTTTTGGCTTTGTCCACTGAATTAGGGGACCCAAGACTGTCACCTGCAGGATGGGAGTCTGGAGCTGTCAGACAGGAGAGGGTCCTGAAGGCAGAAATCCAAACTAGGGCTGGATGTCGCCACTGGATGCTACTAGTCTAGTCTGCTCTCAGATGAACGTGTCTATTGGGTGACTGGGCTTAACAGCTTTCAGGTGATTGCTTTTGCCTTTTAAGCATTGCTGTTTAAGAGACAGGGTCTCGCTGTCATCCAGGCTGGAGTGATCGAAGCTCACCATAACCTCAGACTTAGCTCAAGTGACCCTCCTGGCTCAGCCAGCTAGGATGGTTATTGACTTATTTTTTTTTTTTTTTTTAGAGACAGGGTCTCACTATGTTGCCCAGGCTAGCCTCAAACTCTTAGCTTAAAGAGATACTCCTGTACTGGGATCACAGGTGTAAGCCACTGCACACCCACCCTAGTATTACTTTTTCTTCTGACTGCAAAGATTATAGGATGTTAAGAAAACACAGAAAAGTCCAAAGAAAATTAAAATATTCTAATTTTAACTCCCAGAGTTAACAATACATTTTGGCATATAGCTTCTAATTGTTTTTACTATGCATGTACTTTTTCTCCCTTTCCAATAAAATTGGGTCCTAATTTCCAGTCAGCCTTTCTTCCTTGCATATGAGAGAACATTGTTCAACAAACCTAGGTTATTAGCTACCTTCTAATACAGTGGACAAAAAAAGACTTGGGCTTGGCCTATTATCCTAAAAACCAAAATTCAATGCTCATCCCCATTAGGTTTTTTTTTTTTTTTTTTTTGAGACAGTCTTGCTTTGTTGCCCAGGCTAGAGTGAGTGCCAGGGCATCAGCCTCACTCACAGCAACCTCAAACTCCTGGGCTCAAGTTATACTCCTGCCTCAGCCTGCTGAGTAGCTGGGATGACAAGCATGCACCACCATGCCCGGCTAATTTTTTCTATATATATTAGTTGGCCAATTAATTTCTATTTCTAGTAGAGAAGGGGTCTCGCTCTTACTCAGGCTGGTTTCGAACTCCTGACCTCGAGCAATCCGCCCGCCTCGGCCTCCCAGAGTGTTAGGATTACAGGCGTGAGCCACCGCGCCCAGCCCCCATTAGGTTTTGTACTTTCTTACCTGAAAGCTGTTACTTAAAAGCTAAAATGGCAAAAACTGGGTAAAAAACCTTGTATTCTTCAGTTCAAGGACAGCTAATGCTTGCATTTTGCAGTACCAACGTTACACTTTGGAACAACCCTTTAGTTCTATTAAAAACAGATTCAGACAAGACCATAGGTGACAAGAAGAACTTGTGCCAGGCACAGTGGCTAACACCTGTAATCCCACAAGGATTGCTTGAGGCCAGGAATTTGAGGCCAGCCTAAGCAACATAACAAGACCGCATCTCTACAAAAAAATTAGCCAGCCAAGTGTGGTGGTACACACTTGTAGTCTTAGCTACATGGAAGGCTGAGGCAGGAGGATCACTTTAGCCCAGGAGTTTGAGGTTGCAGTGAGCTGTGATCAGTGATCATGCCACTGTACTCTAGCCTGAGTTAACAGAGCAAGACTCTGTCTCAAAAAAAAAAGATCAACTGGCTCCATTATTTACTGAAGTTAAATGAAGCAGATTCAAGTCAAAGGTTAAGCCACAGGTATTTCCCACCACACCAAAAAAGCCACCTTTCCAGTAGCGGATGCTAGAGGCAAGAACTGCAACAGGGAAATGCCTCACAAGGCCCCAATGGGGCCAATCCTGCCCGGGGCTCAAGCAGAGGACAGAGCCTGGAAGTTTCCATAGCCTAACTCCACCCATTGCTGGTTATCCTAGAAAAAAGCAACAGGGTCCATTAATTTTGTGCTGGTTTGTTGTTGGCGGTATTTTCCCTAACATTTACTTAACTCATTTCTGACCCTAAACATAGGCTATTCAGTTTGGGGTCAGACAGCTCAGAAATGCTAAGATCCTACACTGATTTCTAAGTGTTTGCAGACCAATGCTATCAAAAGCATTTAGGAGTCCGATCTTCACTTTGCAAGAACTTTCCTTGTGATTCCCACATACTGGGACTCCCTAATGTTCAATTTAGAGCTATCAAAATTTAGGGCTCAGAAGTCCACATTAAGCACCATTAAGGCCGGGCACTGTGGCTCACGCCTGTAATCCTAGCTCTTGGAGGCCGAGGCGGGCGGATTGCTCAAGGTCAGGAGTTCAAAACCAGTCTGAGCAAGAGCGAGGCCCCGTCTCTACTATAAATAGAAAGAAATTAATTGGCCAACTGATATATATATAAAAAATTAGCCGGGCATGGTGGCGCATGCCTGTAGTCCCAGCTACCCGGGAGGCTGAGGCAGGAGGGAGGCTGAGGCAGAAGGATCACTCGAGCCCAGGAGTTTGAGGTTGCTGTGAGCTAGGACGCCACGGCACTCACTCTAGCCTGGGCAACAAAGCGAGACTCTGTCTCAAAAAAAAAAAAAAAAGCACCATTGATACAGATGGAAGCAGCTTCAAGGCATGGGTTAAGAAAGCTGCCAAGGGCGATGGTCAGTGTCTTCATTGCGAAGGTCCAGCCTCTCATCCCATTAGGCAGAAGCAACAGCCTGCAGAGTACCAGCCCTGCTATGGCCCTCAAGGTAATTTGAAGAACTCCAATCCTGTCAGCAACCCTGTAAGCTTTTCTTGGGGGTGGGGGGCAGGGATAGGGAACAGGGTCTTGCTGTTGCCTGGGTTAGAGTGCAGTAGCTGTTACTTCACTGGAACCTCAAACTCAAGAGCCCCAGCCTCCTGAAAAGCTGGGACTAGAAGCTGAGGTGCATCACTGCAAATTTTTCTATTTTTCATAAAGACTAGGGTTCCACTATATTGGTAAGGCTGGTCTGAAATGATCCTCCTTCCTTGGCCTCCCCCCTAAAGTGCTAAGGTTACAGGTGTTAGCCACCATGCCCCACCCAACTGCAGGACTTTGATGGCAGAAAATATGCTCTCCTGTCTGTAGTACCTGATTACCTACCACCAAGGGGACAGAAACTGTACATACACAGCCATCAGCAGTGCCAAGGCCTATTAATTGTCAGCTCACAAATCATCCCCACCACAAGTAGGCAGAGAAGGGATGGCAGCATTAGGATTTATTAGACTGTGCCTTAATACAGGCGCTGGGGCTTGCCCATGGTGCTCTTGATGTACAAAGCCCGGACGTTCTGCCAATTCTTCTTGAGCAATGAAACCAAAAAGTTAACAGCCAGGTGGATATTGTACACCAGCTCGTCATCTGTCATCTTCACATGCCCTACGGCCACAGCCAGACATAGAACCTGGGAGGAGGGGAAGAAGGTCAAATCAGGTTGGTGGAAGGATGGCAGATGGCCCATCCTTCCTCCCATGACCTAATGAGCCGGTGGCTGGACCCAGGCCAAGGAAAACCAGGGTTATTCAAACACCTTCAATCCCGCTCAGTGCCCTTACTGTCCAATACCATTAAGTACCCAGAGATACACGAAATCGGGGTTCTGACTGGCCCCACAGGGTAAAATTTGGACCCTGCCAGCACACCCACCCAGGGCAACCCACCACACTGCCTTACCTTCTTCATCTGGAACTTGATTGTGGACTTCACCTCATCAACTTTGGCCACCATGTTTTCGTTGTGTGTCAGCAGGGAAGGAAACTTGCCAGCCTTATTTAGGCCCGGGCCAAGGATACGTGGGATCTGCTTGATAAGAGACTCTGAGGCCAAGAAGGCATCATACTTCTTGGCTGGTAAAGAGAAAGCCATTGGATGCTTAGGGCCTCACCACTGAGGGACAACTTCAGCGTGCTGTTCAGGCCAGAAAAGCACATAAACCAACCACACAAGTGGCCTCTCCAAGTCTTTTAACCCTTCCCACACCCATGCTGTTTCCAGTGATTAGCTCCACCCTCTCTAGATTTTACTGGTCCTGAAACCTGGTCTCAGAGGCCAGGCTGACCCACAATCCGTGCTATCTCCATCCTGCAATGGATGCTGTGGTCAAGACAGCCTGGGCTCAAATCCCGCCTTCTCACTTCCTAGCTGCAGACCTTAGGCATGTGATGACTGGAGACATCTGTTTCCTATCTGGAAAACAGGTCCAGTATCACTGCCTAGACCACGTGGGTTAGACATCGGGAACAACTGAACTGAACTCAGAGTAGAAACTCCAACTCGCAGTTCAACAGCACCTGGCCAGTAAACCTCAATGAACCTCATCTGTTTAAACAGAAGCAATGCCTGGGCTCCCCCCTCTTACATAACATAATCCTCAAAGCAAATCTAAAAGACAAACCTACATAAAGCTAACGTTCAGGCTGCTAACCAACCACAGCAGATCCCGTCCTTTGTGATTCTGCCCCCCAATCATTTAAAAATCAAAATGGCAGAAAGCCACTTCTCTGCTGCTCCCATGCAAATTGCAGGCACCCCCACCCCACCCAAGTACGAAACCGCACTAACCCAGCTTCTTGACCAGCTTCTTATTTTTGTTGAGCTTCTTCAGCGCCTCGATGTCCATGTGGGGGATGTCCACAGCCTTGGCCTCATCGCAGTGCTGCTGGTCCCCCAGGACACACACGGAGAACTTGGGGCGGGGGGTGGACTTAAGCCTGCGTTTTAGGGGGAGAGAAAAGGTCATGGCCAGCCCTGGGTGCCAAGGGCAGGTGAAGGGTCTAGGACCGCAGCAGCCACTGAGCCTTACCCAGAGCGTCCACATGCACCAACAGCTAGCCTGGCTTCTCAGACTAGCCGGCGGGCTCGGCCAAGGCCTCCCCACGCCTCCCCTCATGTTTTAAGACCCAGGGTGGGGGTCCGTCCAGCCGCGCCTGCCCGGAGCAGGGCCCTGGACTACCCTGGCGCGCCAGTACCGCCCGTGCCTGCCTCGGCCTCAGCAAGAGCCTGAAGGGGAGACAGGCGGGGCGCGAGGGCGGGGTGGGTCAGAGCAGTGCCAACCTGACGGTGCCAGAGAAGCGCTTGTCCTTCTGAGGATCATAGTTCTTGAGGCTGATCTGCAGCTCCACCGTCTCCAGAAACCTTAGGGGAGGACGAGTGTCAACCAGCCGCCCGCCGCCCGCCCCGCCCCGCCCCGCCCCGCGGGCAGGCCGCGCTCACTTGCGGCGCTTGCGCTGGTTCCCGTGCAGGACTTCCCGCACCGCCTCGTACAGGGTGTCGCGAGAGACTTTGCTGCTGCGGGAGGGAAGCAAGGGCGCGCTCAGGGCCGCGGCGCCGCGGGCTCACCACCTGCGCCTGCTCGGAAGCCTCCGAGTCTCAGGCTGGAGGCGGGCGGGCCACGACGGTCTCCACCGGGCAGTCCTGACACTAAGTCAGGCGACGGGGCCCCAGGCCCAGATCCAAGCCTCGGAGGAAAAGGGACTCTCCTGGGGACCCGCAGGCCGACCCACCGCAAGAAATGCCCCGCGGCGAAGCCGGCGCAGAGACTCCTGATCCGGCATCAAAGTCCCATCCCTGGCGGGGTGCCTGGGGGTGCAGATGTACGCGGATAGCGCCTCCGCCACCACTCACCTCATGGTCGCTCGCGCCGCGGTAACCGGAAAAGAGACTACCGGAGCTCGCGCATGCGCCCAAATAGTGGTCCCGCTCTCGCGAGAAATGCCTTGTTCTCACGGCCTACCTCCAGAGCGCGGTCCGATCGCTCAGCCCCCAAGAGCGCTGCCGTCTACAGCCGCTAGAGGGCGCTGCCGCGCGTTGCTCTGCTAACCTGCGCGAGGACGGCCGGACTCGGGCGATCCTGAGCTCCCAGGGCACCCTCGGAATATCCCCTTCGCGCCCGCTGCTGCTGGGCCCTGGGGAAGTGACTGGGCCCAGAGCTGGAGCTTCAGCAGTCACACAAACTGCGTACAGCACCGTGATGGCCGCTGACAGCGTGCGACTCGGGCATGCCTGTCCCTCAAATCCCTCTGCCCACTTCCTCCTGCCCTCCACACCAGCTGCTGTTCTCAAAAGCAGGCTTTAGTGCTCGCCCTCCCGACCTCCCTCCCTCCCTCCGCATCTTGCTCTGTGGACTCATGTGGTAAGGGAAGTGTCAAGAAAGTTCAGTTCCTGGACTCTCAACCCCTGCAGTGGGGAAGAGCTGGGAAGGTACTATGGGGAACTTTCACTTGACAGTTAACTCAAAACAACTATGTATTAAGTGTTTACTATGAACAAGGCACCTATCTAGGCGCTCCCGAAATACAAAGATATAAAACAGGCAAGCCCACAGCACTGCACATCCATACAGTGTCTTTTCTGCCTTTTCCTATGCCCAGTGGGTCCCATCCTCAGGCCACCGTAACCCTAGGAACCCTTCAGATCCCTCCTCAAATGTCATCTGTCCAAAACCCTTCCCCAACTCCAGAATTGAGTCACTCTCACATGTAAGCCCCTGTTCCCACCTGCCTGCCTCACTTACTCAACAGGCAGCTGTGATAGCGCTGGGGTGGCTGGCATCACACACCCTCTGGCCCACAGAAGGTGAATGGATGAACTTCAAAACTCACACTCTACGACCTTCCCTTCACCAAGAAAAAGATGCCTCTTGTCACTGAGGAGGTGGGTGGAGGGGGTTGGGAAGGGAAGGCAGGCGCTGCCTCTGATAGGACATTATTGAAGTTCCTGCTTTTTATTATATACAATTGATAAATTATTACTCAAGTCAGAAACAAAAACACAGAGGACCATAACATACACCTGAGCACAAGACACCTGTGCCAAGCACACAGGTACCACATCTCCTGGAGTGTCATGTCTACTCTGGGTCTGCTTGACCCGACTAAGGCCTATCGGACAATTTCTGTCCCTGCAGCCTGAGAATTGACAAGAAGTGAGCACAGAGCTGGCGGCCCTTGAAAATATAGTTTATTGGCCCGGCGCAGTGGCTCATGCCTATAATCCTAGCACTCTGGGAGGCCGAGGCCGGAGGATCGCTCAAGGTCAGGATTTCGAAACCAGCCTGAGCAAGAGCCAGACCCTGTCCTTACTAAAAGTAGAAAGAAATTAATTGGCAAACTAAAATTATATAGAAAAAATTAGCTGGGCGTGGTGGCGCATGCCTGTAGTCCCAGCTACTCGGGAGGCTGAGGCAGAAGGATTGCTTGAGCCCAGGAGTTTGAGGTTGCTGTGAGCTAGGCTGATGCCACGGCACTCTAGCCCAGGGCAACAGAGTGAGACACTGTCTCAAAAAAAAAAAAAAAAAAATATATATATATATATATATATAGAGAGAGAGAGAGAGAGAGAGAGAGAGAGTGTTCATCCAGCTCTCTTAGCCCAGAAGCTTCCCTGCTGGCTGGGAAGCCAAGATGGCCTCTCTGCAGCCTGGAACAGGGAAACAGTTGGTCCCTGGAATGGCCAGGCCTTCAGCCGTTACCCCAGGCAAGGGGTCAGGGAAAGGTGGTCAAGGCAGAAATATCCTTCAGGAAGCTGGTGATGGAGCTCCAGGAAGGTGGTCCCCTGCTATATGGTCAGGGGCCCAAATGTCTCAAGGCGGCCTGAAGGGACTTCCTTAGGAAGGTGGTGTTCGGCTCTAGGGCCACAGCCAGGCCCAGCCTCTGGGTCTCAGTGATCTGGGGAGAAGAAAGAATCTTGTCAGGACTCTAGCAGCAGGTCCCTCCCATCTCCCCACTACCCCATGGGCTCTGTTTAGGAAGGAGACAGGAAGCAAGGACAGAAGGAGGATGGGGGGAGGAGGAGGAGACTCCTGAGCAATCTAATCTCATTATTTCACCATGGTTAACCAACCATGGATTCTGGTGGACCCGGAGTCAAATACTAGCTGCACAACTTCCTAAGCTGGCCACATTAATAATAGCTGACAATTACTGGGTGTTTAGTATGTGGCATTTATAGGTATTACTTCATATATACACATAGACATTACTTCATCTAATCCTCACAACCCTCCCATTTTTGCAGATGAGCAAACTTGACGTTTAGACACTCCATGTGGCTGCCACCTTCATTTTGGGCCATGCTTTCTCTTCTGACATGTTGCTACATGTCACAGGGTTAGGGGACAGGGTCAACTCAAAGGCAGGGACTGCATTATGGTCACTGCCAATTTCCCAATGTCCTACACAGCATCTGGCCCAAAGAGGTGTGAGCTAGATGAACAAACTCCTAAGCAGTCCTGGTCCTGGCCCTGAACTTGTGCTTTCTCTAGATAATATTCAGGATTTAACCCCTGGCAAACATATCTGTACATTATACCCCTGTGGCAGGACCAGCCCCCATGGCCCTATCAACACTCACATTGTAATGGAGCAAATGGAAGAGAGTTAATAAAATATAAAAACAATTAAAAATTATTAAAAACAAAACAAAACAAAACAAAACAAAAAACCACTCACATTGGCCTGGTACTTGATGATCACTGTCAGCATCAGCTTGGCATAGGCCATGGAGGTGGTGGCTGCCAGCCCCTCTTTACAGAGTTTCTCCATCAAGACACTGAACTTCTCAGGGGTCATCTCTACCTGCACACATTGGGAGATGGAGTAGTGTCACAAGAAAGGCCTGGGCTCTTCCTTCAGCCAGCCCCGACCCAATTCCCAACTCCACCGCTTTCTAGCTGGGTGACTCTGGGCAGGTTGCTTAACCAAGCTTAGCCTCAGTTTCCATATCTATAAAGTGGGGCTCATAATATCGAACTCTGAAGCCTGTGAAAAGGATTAAATGAGATAATGTACATAAAACCTGACACACAGGTCTCAGAAAATGGTGGCTACTGTTGCAAAGGCTTCGGTTAGCACTAAGAGGAAGCCAAGCCCCTCGTCGGGCTCAGTGACTGAAGATAAAAGGAGTGAAAGGTGCTGAGGGACGCTGCCAGCACGCTAGCCTAACTCCTCACGGCAGCAATTTAATAAACACTATCCATCAGGCGCACCATTCTGGGCACTTTGTACCAATTATCTCATGTAGACCTCACCCTAGTCTTATGTGGTAAGTGCTATACCTCCTCTTTTGTAGATGAGGAAACTGAGGCATAAAAAAGTTTGGTCAATTACCTAAGATATAAACAAATGAGACAGAATTTTAGGTACTGATATGAAAAAATGGCCAAAATATATTGTTAAGTAAAAAAAGCCAGAAAAGAGAACACTGAGCTTGGTGTGTTATAACCTACATAAAAAGGAGGGGGAGGGGCTGGGCGCGGTGGCTCACGCCTGTAATCCTAGCACTCTGGGAGGCCGAGGAAGGAGGATCGCTCAAGGTCAGGATTTTGAAACCAGCCTGAGCAAGAGAGAGACCCTGTCTCTACTAAAAATAGAAAGAAATTAATTGGCAAACTAAAAATGTATAGAAAAAATTAGCTGGGCATGGTGGTGCATGCCTGTAGTCCCAGCTACTCGGGAGGCTGAGGCAGGAGGATTGTTTGAGCCCAGGAGTTTGAGGTTGCTGTGAGCTAGGCTGACGCCACGGCACTCTAGCCCAGGCAACAGTAAGACTTTGTCTCAAAAAAATAAAAAAAAGGGGGTGGGAAGAACACTTAAACATGTTTCCATATATACATGGCTTCTCTGGGAAGGCTCCCCTGATACTAGCAACACGGGTTATAGCCCTGGGGAGGGGAATATGGATGGCTAGGGGAGAGAAGCAAAGGGAATATTTTTTACTGTATCCTTTCCAGCTTTTAAAATTATGAATATATATATTATCTATTCAAAAATGAAATAAAATTTGCACATGCATCAAAAGAATCCCACCTGAAGGCCCTACAGCTATTAAGAGGTGAAGCTAGACTGACCATGTAGTCGGCTCTCTGTTCCTGACAAGCCACTGTCACAGGCCACCCTCCACACTGAAGGACTCAGAAACCCAGGAGGAGCCCCACGCTCCTCCACAGCACTGCAGCACCTCTTCGTTCGCTCCTACCCTAGGCAGCCTGCTCACCTGACGCTCCAGGAGTGACTGCAACACCAAGAAAGTTGCCTCCTTCCAGGGCAGCTCCAAGATCTGTCTGCAAAGCAGAGGCCACAGTAAGAAAAGCCCGGCCTCCCACCCAAGCCTGGGTATCTTCTGCTCCAGCTCCTCACAGCAGGCCAAGGCCACCAGAGAGCTACCAGAGCCCTTCTGATGCTGGCAGCAGCCTCAGTAGCCAATGCCACAGAATCCACACAAGTGCCAGGAAGGTCACAACCCTGAAATCCTTAGAAGCTGACAACAAAGGATTTGGTAGTGAGATGTAAAAAGGTCCCCTAAAAAATAACTGGGAGCAGAGAGTGGATTCTGGGAACAAAAGGTGAAGAAGACTCGAGAAGAGGAGGACGGTGAAGTGAGATGACACACGTGAGGCTTCCTAGAGAAGGTGAGCCCAACCCACGTGCTGTCCACGCCAGCTGCACTTCCTGTCCCACTGCACAGACCTCACCTTGTTTGGAAAGGCAGCATGTACAATAGAAACAGTGTGGCTTCTTGGGTGGATAGAGTTGGCTTTCATACCAGGCTTTATCACTTCCTGGCTGTGTGACCTTTGCCAAGTCCCTTAACCTCTCTGAGCAGTTTTTCCATCTCTAAGGCAGCAGCAGCACCTACCACCCAGGATTGCATGAAGACTAATTGAAAATCTAAAGCATAAAGAAAGTGCTCAATAAATGGTGGCTGATATTATTTGGGGCTGTTCTATTCTTGTATTATACTTAGTGCTTTATATTTCATGTCTGTGTCCACTGGGGTCTTACTTGTTATTTCACGTCTTTATCCTGACTCCCAGATATTAGTACTTTAACACCAACTTAATGCCAATTTTTGAGCACTTACTAGATGCCAGATATTGTGTTAAACTCATTATATGCATTACCACATTTAATGTCCAGAAAAATCCTATAAAGTAAATACTATCCTCATTTTTCATATGAGGAAACTAAGCCTCAGAGACAATAACTTTTTTGAGTTCACACATTTAAATAAAAGGCAAGGTGGCCGGGCGCGGTGGCTCACGCCTGTAATCCTAGCACTCTGGGAGGCCGAGGCAGGAGGATCGCTCAAGGTCAGGATTTTGAGACCAGCCTGAGCCAGAGTGAGACCCTGTCTCTACTAAAAATAGAAAAAATTAACTGCGCACAGAGAGACACACCTGTAGTCCCAGCTACCTGGGAGGCTGACACAGGAGAATGGCTTGAGCCCAGGAGTCTGAGGTTGCTGTGAGCTAGGATGACGCCACGGCACTCACTCTAGCCTGGGCAAGAAAGCGAGACTCTGTCTCAAAAAAAAAAAAAAATAAAATAAAAAAAAAAATAAAAGGCAAGGTTGAGATGTGAAACCATGTCTGGGCTGGGCGCAGTGGCTCATGCCTGTAATTCTAGCACTCTGGGAGGCCAAGGTGGGAGGATCACTTGAAGTTAGGAGTTGGAGACCAGCCTGACCAAGAGTGATACCCTGTCTCTACTAAAATAGAAAAAATTAGCCAGGCGTGGTGGCACGCACCTGTAGTATCAGCTACCTGGGAGGCTGACACAGGAGAATGGCTTGAGCCCAGGAGTCTGAGGTTGCTGTGAGCTAGGCTTATACCGCAGCACTCTAGCCCAGGGAACAGAGTGAGATTCTGTCTCAGAAAAAAAAAACAAAAACCATGTCTGTCAGACTCTAGAGCCAATGCTCTTAACCAGTGTGCCATGTTCTAACTATGCCCTGAGCTACTCAAGAGCAGAGACCACCAGGCTCTTCTCTGGATTCCCGAGGCACCTGGTACGGCCAGCCGCACACCCTGCAGAGGCAGAATTGTGAAAGACTGCAATCGTGGGCTTGGGAAGGTGCACAGGATGGCAACTCGCAAGGGCCCGTAGGTGGAAAGGCACAGGGCCTGGTGCCCCCATGGCTCCAACCCCAGAGTGCCAGGAGCAGGCGTCGCCTGGGGGAGAAGGTGGGAGTGGGGACAGCACGGAGGCCTGCACACTCACCCCAGCATTAGAGCCAGGGCATCTGGCTCCAGGGACTCATCCTTCATAAGGCAACACAGTAACTCTGTCTGCGCTGGACCTAGGTGGGAAAGCAGAGGGGACAAGTCTGGGGGGAAATGGCGAGAGAAGATGGGACGAGGGGGGAACAGAAGGCCCAACCTGGGACCATCAGGGAAGCAAGAAGCATCTTTACCCACTAAATACCCAACTCCACGCAGGACCACCCTGGGATGAAGGGTGCTGGGAACAGAGAGGACAGAGCTACCAGGCCTGGGGCTGGTTCCAGAATTACCTGTGCCTGGGGCCTGGAGCACAGGGCCAAGGAGGGCTGTGCAGACAGGGTGGGTGTACTTGGCACAAAAGGAGGTCAGGGCAGTCGTAAGCAGGCGAGAGGCTGAGGAAGTCAGGGAGAGGATCTACAGCCAGTGGGGAGGAAAAGTTAATTTTTTTCTTCCTTTCAACAACTGTTTTATCAGACATCTATTTCAGATGGTGATATACATTGCAAAGGAAAAAAAAACAGGTTATTTTATTTAGGACTCACATGGACCCTACCACTGGAAAAGATACATAGCTCCCTTCCCCAGCTCCCAAATCCCTGAAAGCCCCTTAATCAGCTTCTTAAAGTGCTCTAGAGCCCCAAAGGGAGGACTCAGATGCTATGTAGGTAAACAGCCTGGGGTCCATTCCCTGCCAGTTAAGCAGGATCCTTTCCTTGCCCCAGGCTGCCCAGGCAGACCAATGCCTGCACAGCCGGGAATGCCCCCTCCAAGCACCACCCTCTGATGGTTCAGACACTCTTCCCCATTGTCACTGGCACTGAGTCCCTGCCAATGCACCTACCCGTCCAAGAAAGAGGCTCCTGGTCAGCACAGTGGCATTACTGAAGCTAAGATCTGGTGACAGGGCCAGCAGCCAGGTGCAGAGCTGCAGGAGACCTGCGTCCGAGAGCTGCGGGAGCTGCAACTGGGCACACAGCAGGTCCATCTGCCGACAGGGCCAGGCATGGAGGGGATGAAGGACATGGGGACACTCAGTGTGCCGCTGCTAGACTATCTCAAGCCAACTGACCAGCAGAGCAGGACAAACACTCCAGGGCAAGGAAAGGCTGGGAGAGCTGCCCTAGGGGGAGGAACTACTGTCTAAAAGAAACGACTCAGGGTGACCCATAGCTCTGAGAAACAGAAAACAACAAAATCCCTTCCCAAATTTCCCACACAAGGCAGGGAAACATAAATAGGGAAAGGCAGGGGAGAGAAGATATAACGTCAGGGCCAGGCGGTCTATCTGGACTCACCTGGCTGGGATTGCATTCGTGCAGAAGCTGTAGCTCAACTTGGGGGGCATCCTCCAACCCCTCCAGCCCCTGGGGAGAGAAATCCCATGTTAGGGCTGCCAGAGCTCTTGGTGACAAGTCACTGAGGCCATCCCATCAGTTGGCAAAGGGAGTGGCTGAGATCAGGAAAGGTGCTTCTACAGGAAAGGAAGTTGCCTGGAGTTAGATGACATGTTTATACCTGGGCAGAGAGAAGCCCCTGCAGAGACTGTTCTCAGACCTGTACTCCAACCCTGCCTCCCCCAACCCCATGCCTCACTGCACTGGGGCCTCCCTGGGCGAGGTCAAGGTTTGGCAGAAGGTGGAAGCAGGGCTAGGAGAAGCAGGGTGGGGCCAGTCACCTCCCCAAAGGTCTTCAGCAGCTGCTGCAGCCTGGGAACCTGGTCCTGTGGAGGAGAGCACCGTCACCACCAAGTCCTTGCCCCTGCAGCACGGCCTCAAGCCCAGTCTCAGCTCCCTCTCCTGAGAAGGCCCCAGGTCAGCAGGAGCTGGTGGGCAAAGATGATTCAACATGGCCAAGAACATGAAGCCTCTATCTTGAAAACTGCCTGACTAGAATCCAAACTAGACAAGACACAATCCAGCTGTCTATTGTCTTCTCCATATCCAACCCAAATGGGCGTAAACCCAGTCCTTGGGCTGGGAGAGCAGGCTGGATGCTGGCACGATTCCCCCCAGCCCATGGCATAGGGTGGCAGGGGTGGCTCCAGAGCCTCTACTCTTGCCTGCCACCCTTTAGCCCCACGTTATAGATCATTAGGACAAGTGTTTCCCACCTCCACAACTCCCTTCCCCACCCCTCCTTAAGAGTCTGTGGAGTGGAGGCTACATTCCCTCAACCCTACCCTCCTCCCCCTTCCTGCATGAACTACAGAGTCATCCCTATTGGGAAAGTGTCCTGACCGGCCTTCACCATGGATAAACCCGCCACCCCTGAAGGATCATTCCAAACCCAGTCTCCCCAGCACAGTACCTGGAGAGCTTTGGGCAATACCAAACCCTCAGCTGGACCTTTGGCATCCTCCAGACTTGCACTAGCCTTGCTGGTCTCAGCTCCCAGGACAGGCTGGCTCTTAATGGGAGATGCACCTTCACCACCTGCCAGGGATTCCAATGACTCGTGTGCAGGTCCCTCCTCCTCATGCTCTTCTTCTTCTTCTCCCCTTTCTGAACATCTGAACCTCTTGGGGGCTCTCTCCCCCTCAGGACTGGCAGCCTCTTCCTCTGGCTCTTTTCTGCGTTTCCCAGACTGCTGAGAGTCCCTGTCCTCTTCCTCTTCTTCAGTGTCTGGAACCTGGGGCAATTTCAACCTCCTGCCCCCCTGGCCCAGCTGCCTACACAGGCCTTGGAGCTGTCTCTGGCACCTTCTGGACAGTAAGGAAGCTCCCTCGAGGGAAGCCCCAAGTCCCAGATCCCTTTGCAGCAATCCCCCCAGGACACGGAGCCAGACATCAGGGTCCGAGGCGAGGTCCTGCTGGGCAATCTGCAGCACAGAGAGGAGCCCACTTTCAGGCAGTGATGGCCGAACAGCCATGAGCAGGGACATCAGGTTCCTCTGGCATAACTGGGGCAATCTCAGCAACAGTGGCTTCCTGCGTAGCAGAGGGAGAGAAAGCAGTTAGAGTGTCTGGCTGAAGGGAGCAGAGCACAGGGCAAACTGGGCAGAGCTGAGGGCCAGATGGCAGGGGACATATTGGGGCAGGCAGGTGATACCTTCAAGTCAGTGTGGATGGAGGAGACAGCATGAGAGTCATTCAGAAAGTGTTCAATGAGCATCCATTATATGCCAGGCTGGCCTGTTCTTTGATCTCTTTGAAATCTCCTATTTTAGCTCAAAAATTCATGTTGGAACCTATCCTACAATATATCTATGCTTGTTTTACATTTTAAAAAGTCCTTTTCAGGCCAGGCGCAGTGGCTAATGCCTGTAATCCTAGCACTCTGGGAGGCCGAGGCGGGCGGATTGCTCGAGGTCAGTTCAAAACCAGCCTGAGCAAGAGGGAGACCCTGTCTCTACTATAAATAGAAAGAAATTAATTGGCCAACTAATATATATAGAAAAAATTAGTCGGGCATGGTGGCGTGTGCCTGTAGTTCCAGCTACTCCGGAGGCTGAGGCAGGAGGATTGCTTGAGCCCAGGAGTTTGAGGTTGCTGTGAGCTAGGCTGACGCCACGGTACTCACTCTAGCCTGGGCAACAAAGCGAGACTCTGTCTCAAAAAAAAAGTCCTTTTCAAAATTTTAGGTAAAAATAATATTCTGGGATGCTGTGCAATGCTTAGTCTGTGGCCCTGGGGCCACCCTTGGCAATCTCCCTGGTATTCACCTGTCCAGCTCTCATGTTTCTTTCACCAAATTGTGAGTTACTGAAAGGCAGAAGTAGTGTCCTCCCTCTGTGTCCTAGTACTCAGCACAGTGCCAGCCCAGAGAAGGCACTTGGTGCACATTCACCCAGTGAATTAACTGTCTGAGAATAAGTGTGCAGAGATCAGAAACGGCTGCTGTGGAGAGAGAAGGCTTCACAGAGGAGGTGAGACTTGAAACAGAGGAATCAGGTAATAAGCATTCATGACACCACTTTACAGATTCCAAACTGTGTTTACAAAGGTAAAGGGGTAGACAGAGGGGGCTGAGGGTCTTTTCTTTTGGAGCCCCAGGGATAAGAGCACATTGAGTGCTCCCTCCTGCAAGCACTCAGCATTCTCTGATTTAACACTATTCTCCAGTGCTCCAAAGGCCCATGATGCAATATAGTTGCCTATAATTCCACTGAGGCACAAATCCAGGTCCTGTGTAACCTGAAGCATGGTTTGGCAAGCAAGTCATGGCTGCATCTAGCCCATCACCCACACTTCTGCCCCTCCTTATCCATGATTTTGCAGGGCTGTTTGTCTACACACAGGCGTGTGGGATCTAAGGGAGGAAAAAAACCACCCATTTCTTTTTGGAATATAGATACTATGTGAGAGAAAAACTAGAGTCAAAGTTAAAAAGATGGTTAATTGGTGGTGGGAGGATTTAGGGGGTAGAGGTAGGGAAGATCCTACTCCAAGGGGTTTTAAACTTTTTTAGTGCCACAGACCCTTATCATAATAAGAGTGTTATTAAACACATTAAGTGAAATATCTAGGATTACAAAGGAAATCAATTGTACTGAAACACATTTCTACACAGGGGCGCTAGGTAAGCCCCCTGTCCTCCCCTTACTCTATCCAGAATAAGCCAGGCAGCCGGACAAACATTTTTATAGCCTCCAATGTGAAGGTTCAGAAGTCCTCCTGACCCATCTCTTCAAAGAACTTCAAAGTGGAGTGTGAGAAGAAATATATTAGAACTCCTATTTCTACTTACTTATCTAAAACATAAGAAATTAGGCATTATGAGTAGTCAGCATATGGAATGGCCTTCCACATGCCAGTTTCCAGCCTAAATGCTGGGGAGGAGCATCCAAGAAGAGTGGAAAGCCCACACCAGGAGGGGCTGAAGGCGGCATCTCATTTTTTTTTCATCTTCTGTGTATTTTAATTACCTTTGCTAGTTACATGCATTTGGTATTATATTCTATTTTTTAACAAAAGAAATCCTCACAAAATGGACACATGGCTTAAAAGGATGCCTGCAAAGAAACGGAAGACTGAAGATAATACCAACAACAGAAGGGCAACCAAATAAGAAAATGGTAGAGGCTGCACTTCTGCACCTAGTAGGAATTGTCAGCCACATAAGAGAGGCATCAAAAAAAATTTAATGTGGCCGGGCGTGGTAGCTCACGCCTGTAATCCTATTCCAGATCAGGAGTTCGAAACCAGCCTCAGCAAGAGTGAGACCCCGTCTCTATTATAAATAGAAAGAAATCAATTGGCCAACTTATATAGAAAAAGTTAGCTGGGCATGGTGGCGCATGCCTGTAGTCCCAGCTACTCGGGAGGCTGAGGCAGCAGGATTGCTTGAGCCCAGGAGTTGGAGGTTGTTGTGAGCTAGGCTGACGCCACAGCACTAACCCGGGCAACAAAGTGAAACTGTCTCAAAAAAAAAAAAAAAATTTAATGTCATCCAAAAAGCTAGAAATTATCAAGAACATTAAGATATGGATTCACAGTCACCATCCTATGGAAAATGATCTTGCCTTAAAATGCCCATAAGGCTTTGGAGAGTTGATTGTATAAAGCCACAATTAGCTGTTTATTCCATCATCATTTATCACATTTTAAATATCTAGTTTTGTTTAGTATTTTAACACACGTGTACACTTTATATGCATGTCCGTTTTTTTAGAGATGGAAGTATGTGATTAAAATTGATCTGACTCTGCTTATAACTACTGCACTTATTCACGGCGAAGAGAAGGCGTGTCTTAAGTCTTTGCATCCTCAGCGTCCCGCACTGCCCCGCACACAGTAGGTGCTCGATGAAGAGTGCCCCTCCTCGTAGGGTGCGCGGCAGGGCCCCCCTCGCTGTGGGGAATTACAAGGCCCTCTAAGACAAAGCGTAGGCAGCGACAGCCCCAGCCTTCCGTGACGCAGGGCCCACGAGCGGAGGACTTACAGCTCCAGGCGGCCGTCGGGCGCCCGCACGACCGGCTCCTCCCGGCACAGCGCCTCGAGGAAGCGGCCCCAGCAGAGGGGCTCCCCGCCGCGCCTGCCCAGCGCCCGCAGCACCCCGAGGCCGCGCCGCGCCCCCTCGGGCCCCGCCTGCAGCGCCTGCAGCACGAGGCGGGCGGGGGCCTCCAGCTGCGCCCAGGGCGCCGGCCCCGCGCCCTCAGCCCCCGGCGGCGCCGCGTCCGGGGTCGCCATGCCTGCGCACGGTGCCGCGCCGCCCCTCACTCTGATTTGGGGCCTCCTCGACGCGGCGGGGCGGGGCCCTCAGGGTGCTCCGGCGCCCGCCACAACCCCTCCCCGGAGCTTGCGGAGGCTCAGGAGACCGCCAGCCCGCGACCAGAGCGGCTCGCGCGCGGCAGCAAACAGACGCCGGAGGAACGTCGGGGGGCGGGGCCAGAGCGAGAGGCGGGGCGCGAGAACAGGCCGGAAGGGGCGGGACCAGGAACGACTTGCCCGAGAGTAGGGAGTGGGGCCAAGGCCGAGGGCGTGTCCGCTGACGGGGCGGGGCCAAAACGAAAGGATTCGTGTGTGGGCGGGGCCAGGGCAGGGGGACTGGAGCGGGGCGGGGCTTGGTGGAGGGGCGGATCCTCCGCTGCTGACCCTCACTTGCTCCGCTTCTCCGTCACTCCCAGAAGCAGTGGGTCAAAACGGACGTCCCGGTCCTGCTGTGCTTAAGGACTCCAGCTGCGTTTGATTTTAGCTGACGCCCATGTTGCTTGTAGATCATGAGGTTTGCCATAGGATTCGACCATAATTTACCACTGCACTTAACTTCCTCTTTCACAGACCAAAAACTGCCCTCACAGGGTTTCAGTCCTCTAAATATTCTGTGATGTTCAAATATCCTTGATAATGGGGTCACAGTAAAACCTACTGCCATCAATATGGCCAAAGACTCTGAACTTGCTCCCAAAGACCAAGCAGCAGCCTTGCTCTGGTTGTGTATAAGGGGCTGGGAGCGGCTGTGCCTCCCAGGGTTTCAGGTAGTCGGCTGGAGGAGGTCAGCTTCCAGTCAAGGGAGGGGTCACTGCGGAGGGGAGAAAGAGAGAAGGGCTCCATGAGCCCTTAATCCTTACTTTGGGGCCAGCTTGTATTTTCCATCCTACCAGCTTTTGCCCCCCCACACATCCATTCATCCGATAAATGAGTACTGAGCACCTAGGGACTGGGGATACTGGGAACAAAATAAAGATCCTGGACATTGTCGCAAGTGGGGAGAGGCAGAAAGCCAAATAAGTAAACACTAGAATGTAATAAGTGCTTTCAAGAAGAGGCCGGGCACGGTGGCTCACGCATGTAATCCTAGCACTCTGGGAGGCTGAGGCGGAGAGGATTGCTCGAGGTCAGGAGTTCGAAACCAGCCTGAGCAAGAGCGAGACCCCATCTCTACTATAAAAATAGAAAGAAATAATTGGCCAACTAATATATATAGGAAAAATTAGCCGGGCATGGTGGCGCATGCCTGTAGTCCCAGCCACTCGGGAGGCTGAGGCAGCAGGATCCCTTGAGCCCAGGAGTTTGAGGTTGCTGTGAGCTAGGCTGATGCCATGGCACTCTAGCCTGGGCAAAAAAGCGAGACTCTGTCTCAAAAAAAAAAGAAGAAGAAGAATATAGCACTGAAGGGAGACAGGGTGAGGTCATTTTAAATCAGGTGGTCAGGAAAGATGAACCTGAGGGAAGTGAGGTGGATAAGCCAAGCAGAAGTCTGTGGGGAGCCCGTTTCAGGCAGAGGGACCAGCAAGTGCAAAGACCTGGGGCAGAAGTGAGGCTGGAGCAGAGGGCACTTGCTGGAGGGTAACAGGAGAAGAGATGAGAGAGGCAACTGGGTCAGGCCTTGTGAGGCCTGAGATCATAGAGAGGACTTTCCCTCCCACTCTGAAGAGTATGGAAAGACATGAGAGTATTTTGAGCTTGCTCTGATTTCCATTTGAGCCAAAATTTTTGTTTTTCCAAAATGATTTCAAGGGAAATGTTGGGAAAGACTAGGAAAATTTCTTAGATAGTGCCTGCTTTGCAAAAGCCAAAATAGCAGGAAAGAAGTTTCTTCCAGGCACCTTCTATTTCAGGTAAGTAGCTCTACCTTCATAGGGGATTTTAGTCTTCAAATGACCAGCTGTTGGAAGGGCGGCCCTGACAAATACTGGGTGGGGCCAAGAATGCTAAACAGCCTGCAGCACTCTGCCCATTCCCAACTACAGCTTTTCTCCTCAGTGCTATTGCTGCCTTCCCCCAAGTCCTGCCCTGCCAGCCATCTGGAAGGGCGTAGGGAGAAAGAGTTCCACTTTCGTAAGATTTGTGAGGTCATTACTGTTTTCATAGTGCTAAACTGTTATTTGCCCTTTCCACTCTTATTCTCTTACAAGCCTACTGTGAAGTTTTCCAGAAGCTAAATGGTGATACTGCAACAGATTGAATGCAGAAGCAGCCTTATTGCCCTTGGCAATGGGCGTTGGACTATGAGCAAACCCTCTTCAGACATCACCAGTGATAGCTTAGGTGCATTTTATTGGTTTTCTTTCAGAATCCTACAAAAAAGCAAAGTCAAAAACCAAGGCCCTGGCAAGACAGTGTAAACGCTTCCTCATTCCAGGAGCCCTCTATCTCTCCCCATGTCCCCAGAGTGTCTGATGCAGTTCATGGGGGTAGGGGACTTGCTATTTATGCCCCCACCCAGCCCCAAAAGGGAAAGACTTACCACCTAGCAACCCCTTCCCCTCACCCCCATCTTGCTCAAATTGATCCCGGTTACAGCAGGCCACAATAAGAACTGTTGGGATCTAGCAGCAGTTCTGAACCCCAGAAGGCCATGGCCAGGGCACTGTCTGTGAAGAGCACATGGTCCTCAGGCTCCGTGCCTCCTAGGAACAATGCTGGGCCCAGCACCTGGGAGTAGGGAGAGAAAAATCAGTGAAAACCCATCAGCTTCAGCCTCACTTGCCCCAGGAACAGGGGAACTCAAGACTCACACATAAGACTGGGCAGGCTGTACATAGCACAAAGGTGCCACCTCTAAGTAGGCACCACTAGCATCACAGACATCAAAACAGGTTTCACACTCATCACAGACACGTGTAAGCCACGACCAGCAGCCTCCCCTGCCCCGTATCTCTACTGTTAGCTCCTCACTGCTGGAGGCCAGGTGCACACTCTTGGGCGAGGGAGGACCAGAGGCCGGGGCCTTAGCTGGGAGCTGGTGCAGGTAGATGCAGTCGGATTTGAAGGGGCAGCGGCCGTTCCCCCGCATAAAGAACCGGCATCGGATCTGGCTGTGAGAGGGCAGAAAGAGAGAAGAAGGTTACCTCAAGCCAAGGGCACTCATTGCTGACATATAAATTCGGGCAGGTTATCCACAGCTTCGGGCCCCAGCACCCAGGCCGGGCCACACCGCTGCCTGAGCTCTGCCCCTTCCCCCGAACCCAGTCTGTGGAAAAACTGCCTTCCATGAACTTAGGAACGGGCTGCACAGCAGGAGGTGAGCAGCCCGCAAGTGAGGGAAGCTTGGAAGCTTCATCCATATTTATAGCCGCTCCTCATCCCTCCCATCCCCGCCTGCGCTCCGCCTCCCACCCCAGTCCCCTCACCCCAGTCCATGAAAACACGGTCTTCCAGGAAACCTGTCCCTGGTGCCAAAAAGGCTGGAGACCGCTGATCCACAGCACAAAAGCCCCTCCTCTAAGCAGGCACCACTCACGTCGTCGTGTAGATTTTACATTTATTCTAACTATCTTCCAGCAGATGGCAGTAGAGTATCTTAAGGGGTGCCTAATTCTCAGGAAGTCTCCATTTGGGCCAGCAGTGGCCCTGGAAATGTCTCTGGAACAAGGCTGCCTGTCTCTGGGCCGGAGACAGGACTGTCCTCTTTGTCCCTGCCTGTACCTACATACACTCTGCACACGTCCAGTGTGAGAGGGACCTGGAATTGTAGCGAATTCCAGATTTGGATAAATGCTTGCCCTCCCCAAGAGATTAAAACCTACCCAGCTTCCTCTTCTCTCCATGGGTGGTCTTTCAGTCCCCTAAGCACACACCACGTATTCACAGCAATTTCCTTTCTTGCCTTAAAATGAATCAGAAGTAGGCCGGGCGTGGTGACTCACGCCTGTAATCCTAGCTCTCTGGGAGGCCGAGGCGGGCGGATTGCTCAAGGTCAGGAGTTCAAAACCAGCCTGAGCAAGAGGGAGACCCGTCTCTACTATAAATAGAAAGAAATTAATTGGCCAACTGATATATATATATAAAAAATTATCCGGGCATGGTGGTGCATGCCTGTAGTCCCAGCTACTCGGGAGGCTGAGACAGCAGGATTGCTGGAGCACAGGAGATTGAGGTTGCTGTGAGCTAGGCTGACGCCACGGCACTCACTCTAGCCTGGACAACAAAGCCAGACTCTGTCTCAAAAAAAAAAAAAAAAAAAAATGAATCAGAAGTGAAAGCCAATCAGGGCTTCTCGTGGTGCCGAGAGAACCAGTCGCCTGTGTTGATCCTGAGCCAGGTTAGAAGAGAAAACTGGCCCTGCTGTTCCTCCTGCTGTCTCAGCCACTCACCATTTTTTTTGAGACAGGGTCTTGCTCTGTCACTCTCTCACAGCAACCTCAAACTCTTGGGCTCAAGAGATCCTCCTGCCTCAGCCTCCTGAGTAGCTGGGACTACAGGCATGTGTCACCATGCCCGGCTACATTTCTTTCTATTTTTTGAAGAGACGAGGTCTCCGTCTTGCTCAGGGTGGTCCCAAACTCCTGGGCTCAAGCAATCCTCCGGCCTCGGCCTCCCAAAGTGCTGGGATTACAGATGTGAGTCACCACACCTGGCCCACACATCATTATTGACAGGGCTCTCTGAAATAGTGACAACAGCTCACACCCTTACCTGCCGTCTTGACCACTCTGAACTTCCAGGGCTTTGGGGATCCCGGGCTGGGAACTGTGGTTGAGCCAGGATGGACCAGGGGCTACCTTCCCTTCCTCCCCATCCCCGAGTCACGTTCCCCCCGCCAGCCTCACCTGGTCCGAGCCTTGAAGTTCCTGATGAGCTGCTCCTTCTCAGCCCCCGTGCTCACCCAGAACTTGTGGGGGATGATGTAGCTGGAGTGGACACGGCACTGGGGACAGGCCCTGCGTGGTGGGGTGGGGTGGAAAGTAGGGGCCTAGTCACAAGCCTGCAGGCCGGGCCCTCACCCACACCTCCCTGGTGGCAACACTGACTTGATGACATCCAGCGGGAAGTCCTGCCGGTTCTTCCGCCAGGTGCGCAGGCAGCCCAGGCAGTGGGCGTGGGTGCAGTTGGGCAGGATGCCGAAGACCTGCTCGGCCTCCGGCTTGTCCCA